TGCGAGGTTGGGTTCTACCAGAACACCAACACCGGCCTTAGCGCGCGAGGTGATATCCAAACCTGAGTAAAATAGCTTCCGTTCGTTGAGGTTCAGCAGTCCAGAGCCTTGACGTTTCGTTGACGAGAGTCCAACAGTGTCGAGTTGGTAGTTTATGACCTCATCAACTAACTCTTGCACTTTCCCTCTGAGTGAGGATATGTTCCAGTTTCCGACTTTAAGCTCCCACTGGTGGTGTAGTTCTCGTGGAGCCTTTTCTGGCGTGCTATAATGGCATCGCCGTGTCTGCCTCCTCTGCTCAGAACGGGTAGCGACTCCGTTGCTTATTGATGTTTTCATCGTCGTTTCCTCGATCTTCGACAGCCGTTTTTGTGCTGCTAATCCCGAAAGGATCATGCCAAAAGGCGATGTGCATGCTATGATCACCGACTTTTCTCAGCCTGCTTCAGCTTCATTTTTGAGCAGGTACAAAAATGCACGATAATACGGTTAATGATTACACACGGCGAATAAATAGCAGTAGTATTTTACATTGAGCACACGAATATGATGTTTCTGCTATCTTCGATATCGATTATCGCGCAAGATTCCGGTTTTTGATACCTTCTTGAAAGTCTGTTGAAAAGGTTTTCGAGCGGTCATACTGCGTATTCGGAGAGGTTCACTGGATTAATGGAACGTGTCAATCATCGCTGATGAATAGGGGATACGGTATTGCGCAATTCACGACAAAAGGCGCAATAAACTAACGCAAATGTAACAAAGGAAGGATGAATTGGGACAAAGTAAGTATAGAGAAAGGTACAAAATAGTATTTTGAGCTGAACTGCCAAATCGGGCTTTTAAAGTGCAAGGTACATCAAAGCGATTACCAATAAAGACAGAGGAAACGGAAAACCGACTAATCTGCTTACCTATCAATCAGCCACTTGTATATCTTATATGATATATCGTTCAGATATCCTGGTGCTTCCCACAAACCATGTGCATAAATTATCACGCTACACTGAAGAGGTCATATGTGATTACAGCCAATCTTAGAACTTTAGCTGCTCAGTTCTCATCAGATGTATATCATGTCCTTCTGTACACCCTTCTATGCGGTGGAAAGGTTTTCCAAAGCTGGAGGATGTAGAACTAGTTTCATCCCTGTAGCGTACAACTGTCTCAGTGACAGTGCTGTAAAGAAAAGACGTTTCCATGACATGCAGTAGGTCACTACTTTCTTGTGTTAAATGCAATTTTTGCTAATTTTTCTTCGATGGTTATGCCTACTTTTGTCAATCTTATTTGACTGCTGTAACCCTGTTGATAGACTATATTCATGCTGTTGCTAAGGTAAGTAAAAGACCGCGGTAAAATCTCGCATCTTATTTCGATCTCTCCTAAACGTCGAAATCAAGATGTTCTTTAATGAATCCTAGAAATTTATTTAATTAATGTTCACAAATAATTAAAATCATAAGAAGTCTTCTAGAGAGAAGGTATTCTGATACAATGACTATAGGCACAAAGAAGATTTATCTGTCATTCTAAGCCAACGTTTTGAACACAAACGAGATTGTCTCTTATGCCCATTGGAAATCCTTTTTTCTAGAAGATTTTTTGTTCCAAACAGGTTGAATTGCTCTGAGTTTCAGAAAATAATTAAAATTTAAAATTGTTTGAGAAATTTACCGATGTCATGTCCTGGATAACTAAAGGGGCAACGTTTTCTAATTATATTCTGTTGACGACATCAAAAAGTAAACATTTTTT